GAGAGTCCAAAGAGGGCCCCAAGAGGGGCCCAAGAGGGCACGACGGCCCAAAAGAGCCCCAAGAGGAGCCCAAGACCCCCAAAGAGCCCCAAGATGCCCCAAAAGAGCCCCAAGAGGACCCCAAGACGCTTCCAAAAAGTCTCATAGCTCCAAGAAGGCCTTTGATGCTCCAAGATAACCTCCAACATGGCTCAATACGTTTCTCCCCCTCCTCTCTTTGACCGCTCCGTTTCACGATATGCGTCTCAGCTTTCCATTTCCCGTCAGCTCTCGTGGGCAGGGCCTCTGAATGGGCTGGCGGGGATTCGCGAAGCGTAAGCAATTGAAAGATCATCCCAGCTCTGCCGAATCAGCACCATCTAACCCTCCAGCCAATAACATCTGAAAGAGACAATGGTGTCTGCCGCTTGCAGGATCCAGACCAATCAACGTCACCCACTATGGGCAACACAACGCACGCATCATCGAAGCAACATCGCATCCTTCAGAAAGCGAATGGAATTATAGCGTTTAGTATCAGCATCGGACTGGCCGCCTTTGATTCCCACTGTGACGCCCTCATCATAGGAGCCGCATGCACAACAAAAACGCATACAACGACACACTGAACGAACGACATAAACACACAATAACCAACCACCAACACACGCACACACACACACACATACAAACCTACGCAACCGACTAACGAAGGCTCTGGCAAACATTGCAAGCATCAGCGCATGCTCACATCTTGTTGGTTGGCCGCGTCCTCGGCATATGGAATATCATCCCAGCCCTGCGGAATCTGCACCACCCGCCTCCGAAACAAGAACATCTGAAACACATTATCCCGGCAAAGCAACCTAACAGCGATGTGTAGGAGCATATCTGGAAGCATTCCCCTCAAGATTCAGATGATAATCCAGTTGTAGAATTCTGCTGTTCTCGCAGTCGCATTCGCATTCGCGATGACAGTCGCAGTGGCAACGGCAGTCGCAGTCACAGTCACAGCCTCAGCCTGCCTCAGCATCAGCCTGCCTCAGCATCAGCCTGCCTCAGCCTCAGCCTCAGCCTGCCTCAGCCTCAGCCTCAGCCTGCTTCAGCCTCAGCCTCAGTCTGCCTTCAGCCTCAGCCTCAGCCTGCCTCAGCCTCAGCCTGCATCAGCCTCAGCCTCAGCCTCAGCCTCAGCCTCAGCCTCAGCCTCAGTCCCTCAGCCTCGGCCTCAGCCTCAGCCTCAGCCTCAGCCTCAGCCTGCCTCAGCATCAGCCTGCCTCAGCCTCAGCCTCAGCCTCAGCCTGCAGCCTCAGCCTCAGCCTGCTTCAGCCTCAGCCTCAGTCTGCCTCGGCCTCAGCCTCAGCCTCAGCCTCAGCCTCAGCCTCAGCCTCAGCCTCAGCCTCAGCCTGCCTCAGCATCAGCCTGCCTCAGCCTCAGCCTCAGCCTGCCTCAGCCTCAGCCTCAGCCTCAGCCTCAGCCTCAGCCTCAGCCTCAGTCTGCCTTCAGCCTCGGCCTCAGCCTCAGCCTGCCTCAGCCTCAGCCTGCATCAGCCTCAGCCTCAGCCTCAGCCTGCCTCAGCATCAGCCTGCCTCAGCCTCAGCCTGCCTCTGCCTCAGCCTCAGCCTGCTTCAGCCTCAGCCTCAGTCTGCCTTCAGCCTCGGCCTCAGCCTCAGCCTGCCTCAGCCTCAGCCTGCATCAGCCTCAGCCTCAGCCTCAGCCTGCCTCAGCATCAGCCTGCCTCAGCCTCAGCCTCAGCCTGCCTCAGCCTCAGCCTCAGCCTGCTTCAGCCTCAGCCTCAGTCTGCCTTCAGCCTCGGCCTCAGCCTCAGCCTTCAGCCTCAGCCTGCCTCAGCAGCCTCAGCCTGCCTCAGCCTCAGCCTCAGCCTCAGCCTGCTTCAGCCTCAGCCTAAGTCTGCCTTCAGCCTCGGCCTCAGCCTCAGCCTGCCTCAGCCTCAGCCTGCATCAGCCTCAGCCTCAGCCTGCCTCAGCATTCAAAATGTGGCCTGGGAATGGAGTTCTGGGAACTCGAAGAACACGAAGTGTCCTACAGTTGGCTCCGGGCATTCAAAGTCATGCCCAGGAATGGAGTTCTGGGAATTCGAAGACCACGAAGTGGCCTACAATTGGCTCCGGGCATTCAAAATCATGCCCAGGAATGGAATTCTGGGAACTCGAAGACCACGAAGTGGCCTACAGTTGGCTCCGAGCATTCAAAATCATGCCCAGGAATGGAGTTCTGGGAATTCGAAGACCACGAAGTGGCCTACAGTTGGTTCCGGGCACTCAAAAACATGCCCAGGAATGGAGTTCTGGGACCTCGAAGACCACGAAGTGTGTAACTGTTTGCTTAAAACGACTTCCGCTGGTTCTCCCCGGCACACGCCCAGACCCCCCTGGGGAGTCAAGATGCTCTCTTTTGACACTACTAGAAGCCTATCAGTCTTCGCTGTTAGGTAATCATGCCCAGGAATGGAATTCTGGGAACTCGAAGACCACGAAGTGGCCTACAGTTGGCTCCGAGCATTCAAAATCATGCCCAGGAATGGAGTGTTGGGAATTCGAAGACCACGAAGTGGCCTACAATTGGCTCCAGACATTCAAAATCATGTCCAGGAATGGAATTCTGGGAACTCGAAGACCACGAAGTGGCCTACAGTTGGCTCCGAGCATTCAAAATCATGCCCAGGAATGGAGCTCTGGGAATTCGAAGACCACGAAGTGGCCTACAGTTGGCTCCGGGCATTCAAAAACATGCCCAGGAATTGAGTTCTGGGACCTCGAAGACCACGAAATGTGCAACTGTTTGCTTAAAACGACTTCCGTGGATTCTCCCCGGCACCCGTCCGGCATCTGCCCAGACCCCCCTGAGGAGTCAAGATCCTTTCTTTTGAAACCATTAGAAACCTATCAGTCTTCGCTGTTAGGTAAAAATAGTGTCTACCGCCGACAGCATCCAAATCGGCCAGGTCCGCATCGGTGAAGCAACATGGCAGTCTTCAGAAAAACGAATGGAACTATAGCGTTTAATACCAGCAACTGCCTGATCGCCTTTGATTCCCACCGTGACGCTCTCATCACAGGAGCTACACGCACAAATATGCGCGCACACACAGGTACACACACATGCACACGACCTGCACCCAAACATACACTCAAGGCAAGCTACGTGTGCAAATGGCTAGCGAAGGCTCTGGCACATCAGCGCATGTTCAGATCAGGGTGGTTCGTAGCGTCCTCGGCATATGCCTCTGGATCTCGCATGTGTGCAAATTCAAAAACCATCCCAGCGCTTGCCGAATCAGCCCCATCTAGAACTGCAGGCAAGACGACCCGAACACACGATCACGTCTACTGCCGATAGCACCTACCAACATAGGCAACGTCCCGCCACAACCAACACGCAAGCAATGCATCATACACGTTACCGAAGCACAAGCGCATCCTTGGCAAGGGGATGGCACCACGGCGCTTGGCATCAGCATCAGCGTGACAATATTTGATTCCCACTCTCGTACACAGGAGCCAAGCGTACGACAAAACTTTTTCCGTCGGCGGCGAAGCAGTTGGCTGCACCAGCGATAAAGCTAGACGGGGTCACCGAGAAACGAAGTGGCCAGCGTGCAAAGAGTGGGAACAGGGCAGAGAGAGGGGCCGCGGAGGGGGGGAGCGCACGACAAACACATGCACAACATCTCACCATATAACTGTATCTTATAATAATAATAATAATAATAATAATAATAATAATAATAATAATAATAATAATAATAATAATAGTAATAGTAATAATAATACTAATAATAATAATAATAATACTAATAATAATAATATTAATAATAATAATAATATTACGAATAAGAATAATAATAATGATACGATTAATAATATTAATAATAATAGTAATAGTAATAATAATAGCAATAATAATAATACGAATAAGAATACTGTCAAACATATTAATATTCGTATCAATGATAACATATGTATATATAACAATATATGCACGCCCTCCTGGCGTGAACAGGAAGGCGTACAAACCAATCCTGGGCCCAGGATGAGTGTGGCCTTCCTGAGAACCTCCCCCTGCCTTCTCACGACGACGACGACGACGACGACGACGACGACGACGACGACGACGACGACGACGACGACGACGACGACGACGACGACGACGACGACGGCGCGCACAGGGCCCCACCCCCGCTACAGACGACGACGGTGGTGCACAGGTGGCGACCCCCCGCTCGGAACCCGCCCCTTGCCTCCCCCGCGCGCGGAGTCGCGGCAGCATGCCTTGGGCCGTCTCGTCGGATTTTGCGCACAGCGGGGGCCCGTGTCAAGAAACACCCTGCTTGCCTCCAGGGTGCCCTGGGTTTCTTGGGTTTCGATGGTTTTGCTATGGAAAGCGTGACGTTCCCATACCGAAAATGAATGGGCGTCCTGGGGTTCTTGCGGCCTGAGAGGGCCTCCAGAGGGCCGAAATCGGCCTCCAGAGGCCGAAATCGGCGACAACCTCCGTCCTGATTTTTTTACGACGCGATCATGACTGGGTGTACATCCTCTCAACCTCCCCACCCTCCCCGCGCGCCCAGGTCGCATGCACCACCACCACGACCACCCCCATCCCGAGGCTCCCTGGGCGGCCCTGACCCTCAGACCCGAGGACAGCCCAAGAGGGCCCCACATGAGGCTTCCAAGATGGGCCCCGGAGGCTCTGGCCGAGAGGGGCCCAAGATGAAGCCTAGCCAACAGGGCCCCAAAAGAGCAAAAAAGGCCCCGAAGGGGACCCAAGACGGCCCGCAGGAGCCCAAGCCAGCCACGGTCACGCCCATGAGGGCCTCGCGAAGAATTCGAACGACAAGTGTAACATTATAGCCTCGCTACACAGAGTGCTGCGCCAGCACGGTGGCGGAACTTGCCGTGGGCAGCCGGACACATAAAAAACAAATGAGACGTTTCCATGTTCAACCTTTGGTACTTCTCCTGGACGACGACGACAGCGGCGGCGGCGGCACCAACAGCAGCCTGGGCCCCTGCCTGCGCGCATAGTCCGAAGCGGAGCTGGGCGGCGAGCGACGCGAGGCGCGCCAGGGCGGGCTCCGCGGCCAGGTCGTCCCTCGACGACAACGACGACGTCGACGAAGGCGACGACGACGGCGACGACGGCGGCGGCGGCGACGATGGCGGCGGCGGCGGCGACGACGGCGCCCAAGAGAGTGTGTATGTGTATGTGTGTGTGTGTGTGTGTGTGTCTGTACGTGCGTGCGTGCGTGCGTGTGTGCGTGCGTGCGTGTGCCGAAATGAACGCGGAGACGCCATGCGAACGCAACGTGGGGCCGTAGGTGGAGCTTCCTGTGAGTACACGAGGAGTCCTGTGCGGGGCGCGCCGACATGGAGATACGGAAGGCAGCGGCAGAAGGAGGGGGAGAAGGAGGCGGGGGGAGGCGGAGGAGATGGGGCTCGGTGCTGCGGATTCAAACGAGGACCAAACTGCACAAGGGGGTCGGGAACAACTTCGGCGGGCCAGAGCAACGGGGGGAAGCGGAGGAGCGAGAGGGGGACCTCCGCGCGGTGCTGCGGACCCCCGAACGAAGACCCAAACGGCACAAGAGGGCCGAGAACAACACAAAAAGCTTGGGAAAACATGGGGTCTCGATTAGGGAAACCAAAATAGGCAAGCGCGTTCCACTACTCGCGAAGTAACTACTCGCAAATGGCCTGGATACGCCACGGGGGATCTACGCTACATTACAGTGAGGAAGACATGTTTGTTTGGAACGTTTGCGAGTCGGCACTTTGCGAGTAGTGGAACGCGCTTGGTGATCGACTGGGGAAACCAAAAGGTACCAACACCACGACTCCCCGGACCTCTGCCAGGGGCGCGTTCTGGGCAGGATCCCGAAGCACATCCAGCGGTGGCGACGAGGGCCTCCCAGGAGGCCCCAACAAGGGGAAAACGAGGGCAGGGCAGCGGTATGGCTGCCTTGTCCCCTCCTCTGATCGACCGCCGATCCTCGAAGCGATCGGCCCCATCCAAGAAGCCTCAGCGCCTTATCAGAGGCCGCCCCCTCGTCGCCCCGCCCCCCGACCAGAAACCGCTCCGAAGAGCGCTGCTCCCTGGCCCCGCCTAGGTCCTGGGTGGCCAACGTGCGAACCCTACCCCCGCAGAGCCACGATGTCTGAGGGGGGGGGTGAGGGTTCACTACGTTCGGGAGCTCCCGAACAAAGTGAAACCCCAACCCGCGTTGGAATTCTTGGGGGGCAGGGGTAGGGTCCACATGTGGCCACCAACCTCCTCGACTTAAGTCGGGCACGTCCTCCTACAGGCGGCGTTCGGACGAAAACTGAAAAATAGCCCCCCCAAAAGAAAAAAAAACAACAAACATCAAACATTGTCACACGAACACGCAAAAACGTCCCCAGGCCAGTATTCTTTTTGTAACATGGTTTGGATACTCCCTCCTCTGGAGGGACAGGCCCGACCTGATCCTTGAGCCCGCAGTCCTGGCCAGCTGTTGGGGCTGCGCCCCACCGCGGGTCGACGGCGTGGGCCCCCCCGGGAGGCCCCATACGCGTGGCTCGAGCCTCGGGCCTCCGTCTCCTCCTCCTCTTCCTCCTCCTCCTCCTCCTCCTCCTCTTCCTCCCCCTCCCCCTCCCCCGCCTCCTCCTCGTCCTCGTCCTCCTCCTCGTCCTCCTCCTCCTCCTCCTCCTCCTCCTCCTCCTCGGCGGCGGGGGCGCCTCTCTCGGGCGCAGCTGGGCTTCAGCTCGCCCACGCTGGGCAGCCGCAGGCTGCCCCCGCGCAGTTGCGCTGCGCGGTCCGCGGAGAGGCCTGGGGCGGGGCGAGGAGGAGGAGGAAGAGGAGGAGGAGGAGGAAGGAGCTGGAGGAGGAAGAGGAAGAAGAGTACGAGGAGGAAAATGAAGGAGGGAGGAGGGAGGGAGGAGGGAGGACGGAGAAGGGAGGAGGAGGAGGAAAACGACGTGGAGGATGATGAGGAGGAGGAGGACAGGACAGGACATCCGCATAGAAGGTCAACGTCGAAACGCCTACAAAGGAGCTGTGGGGTACGAGCAGCAAAATCCCCTGCGATTTGAATATGCCTCAGACACAGACTTCTCATGGGGCCAGCAGGGGGCGTACGCCGAAGCTCCAAGTGGCGAGCTCCGGGGTGGCCCCGTAAGAAAGGTTCGCTATCTTGCGAGTACAAGCTCCTACAGCTCAAACTCGGCGGCCCGCGTGGATTTCTCGGATCGGCGCCGGGGCCCCCTGGCAGCGCCTTCGGCGCGCCACGGACGACCGAGAAATCCGAGAAATCCCAGCGCCATGGACGAGGGGGGCCCCAGCGCCGATCCAAAAATCCGCGCGGACATCGGAGTTTTTATGTTTATGTCATTGTTCGTTCCCCTGGGACCGGAACGGCGAAGATGGGGGCAAGTCGCGCAAGGACCTGCCGCCCCGGCAGTCCCGCGGGCCTACCTACCACGGCGTGCTCCAAGAACGACGGACGGCGCTCACGACAGGAATCGTGTCCTCAGGGCACAAGACCTATCGATGACAACACCGCCACCTCATCCAGACATATTCTGAGAGCGTTTCTCGGGGAACAAACGATGACATAAATATAAGCACCCCTAGACGGCTTTGAAACCTCGCCCCGACATGCTAATCTCAGCGAAGCCGTAGAATAGGATTCGCAAAGTTTTTCGCTCTGAATTGCGCCGTGACAAGGTTGTCCAATAGCAGCTCAGGCCTGCAGCACAAGAAACTGAGCATGATGAGGATAGCTTCTGAGCCCATATCCCGCATCGCGAACTGGTGGACCTTACGGTTTCCGAAGGCCAGCATCCTGAGGCAATCTGCAACCTTTGCGAGCCGCCAGCTTCTGCTTTGCGACCGTGTCTTGCGAGGCTGCAGGAGGAGCAAGGCGCCTTTCTCGTGGCGGGCCACCGGCGCGGATGATGCCCATCGGCCGCGCTTCTGGACCTCTTCCAAGTCCCCCCTGCTCTGCGCCTTGTCGTTGGAGGCGCCTGGGTGCCAGAAGACGCGGGGGCGCGCCTTGAGGGCAGCGCAGTCGCAGCGATCGTCGCCTCGAACTCCGGCAGGGAGAACGCGAAGAGCCCCTGGGAGTCGGCCGCCTTGGGCCGGCGGAGGAACTGCAGCGCATTCGTGAGCCGGGGCGGGGCACGTCGCCGATCAGCACGCCGTCGCACTGGCCGCCAGTCTCTGTCACCTCGTGCCACAGTGCGCGCCTAGCTTCGCGGCTGGCGCGGGCGGCGGGATCTGGCCCTGCCGCAGTTCCACCGCCGCGCCGGCCGCGCACGTGCCTGGCTGGCGCAGGCTTCATCTCCCGCATCATCTGGTCGGCCCCGCACGTGACAGCCTCGCTCGCGAAGCGCAGCGCCCGCGACCAGCCCGTGCCAAAAACGGCCGCGCACGGGCAGAGCACCTCGCCATCCTCGACCTGTGTCTCGGCCCCGTCGGCGTCGCCCCAGACCCCGGCCGGCCGGGGCCCCGTGATCTCGAGCTCGCGGGCGCCGAAGCGGCCCTCAATGCCGAACCAGGAGGCGAGCTCGGGGACGGTGAAATTACAGAAGCAGTCCTCCGCGTCGCCCTCCAGCCCAGAGGGACAGGCCGCGAGCCCCGACCCGACGCCGCCAAGGCCGAGGCCTTCAGACGAGGGTCGGAGAGGTCCAGGTCGGCCGTGCGCCGCGAGGATCCAAGCCTGGTAGTAGGGGGCGGCCGATGCGCCCTGTTCGCCGCACGGGCGTCACTGATCAGTCTCTGGAGCCCGTCCTTCTTCTTCTCGGCGGCGAACGTGCCCGCGCGCCCCTTCAGCCGCTGGCGCCAGGCCGGCAGGCCCTGCTGACTCAGGCGCTCAAATAGCCGCGTCCGCGGGCCTCGCGGGCGCCGAAGCGCGGGGCCCCAATGTGGCGAAACACCCGCGCCCTCGGCCCGGCCCTCCTCAAGCTCTGCCTCGCCCACCTCGATCAAGGTGGCCGAGTGTCTGATGTAGCCGAGCGCCGCAGGAAGAAGTCCCCGTCGAATCGGGCGCGCGCGGGCCTTCCCATGCAGGATCTTGACCATGTCGAAGTCGAAGCTGGCCAAGTTCTTGGGTTCCATGCCGCAGTGGCCTCTTGAGTCGAGGATCTCCGACAGGGGCGGCTGACTCCTCTGCGTGGTCACTTTTGGACTCCTCTGCGCGGTCACTTTGGCACTCCACGTGCGCCTCAACCCGCCGGGCCACGTTCTGGGGCATCAAGCGCTGCACGGCGGTGGGCCGAAGGCGACCCGCAGGTGGAAGATCGCGCCCCTGGACACGTTGGCGGCGGCGAGCTGGCCCGGGGCCCGAACCGAGTCAACAACTTGCCGAAGCCGCTCGCAACGGCTCGAGTCGCCGTGGACGCGCCGTCGATCTCGCGCCCTGATCCCCCCAGACCCGGGGGCGGGGGGCCCCCGTCGCCGTCGGCTGCGGGGGGGGGTCTGTCGACGCCCGGGCCGCCCGCGTCGGCGCCCCCGCAGCCCCGAGAGGCATCGCCCGTCCGCGACGGCGCCGCCCCCGGCGCCGGCCTCGCCACACTTCGCCTTCTTCTGCTTATTGTTAGTATTATTATTATTTCTCATTCCTGTTATGATTCTTTCTTCTTATAATATTTGTTCTTCTTCTTGCCGACTGCGGCGTGGCCGTCGTCGCCCTTGCCCCCGCCCCCCTTGCGCGAGCGCCGCTGCTCCTCGCGGCAGGGGCGCTCCTGCTACCAGATGGCGGCCCTCTCTATGAGCCCGTCGGTAACCCAAGAGCTGAACTCGGACGTAGACGCACGACCCACGGCATTCACCGGCGCAGAGATCGCGATTTCGAGGCCGCTGTAATCGGGGCACCGCGGACTGCGCCCCGCGGCGACCGCCGTCTGCACCATGGAGCGCGCGATGAGCCGGGCAGAGGACAGCGTCGAGAGACCCACCTGGTCCCAGGAGCGCATGAGCCGAAACACCTCGCGCAGGTCCCGATGGGCGCGGTCGACCGCCGAGCCTCGCCGACTCCGCTAGGCCGCTCCTGCTCTGCCTGGTGGGAGACCACGTTGCCTGGGCCCAAGGCCGCACTATCCAGAAATTCCTTCGCGCTACGCGCGCCAGACAAGGGGGGATTCGCCCGCTCAGCGTCGCGCGTCGAACCAACCACCTCGGAGAGCCGCGGGTTCCTCTGGCCGGCCTCGTCGAGGCGCCCCCCGAGAGTGCGCTGACCGCGATCTCTCGCGCAAAGAACTCCTCGCCATCCAGCGCCGCCGCGCCCCCTCAGCGTCGAAGCAGGCACCCCGGGCGTCGCCCTCCACCACGACCCCCGCCTCCACGATCTCGCCGAATTTGGGGGGGCGGGGCCCGGCGATGGCCCGGGAGATCCTCTCCGCCGCGTCGACTTGGCCCATCATTTTCGCGCGGGGCCTGAAGACAGCCAGCGCAGCTCCTGCCACAAGGTCGCGGGCGTAGACCCGATTCGCCAGATGCCCGGGGAACGGCGCCCGCCCCCCCAGCGCCTCGCGTCAGACGTCCAGCGCGGCCCGGGCCCGGGGCGATCCAGATGTCCCCATCCGCGCGGACGAGCAGCGCGCGGCGGTGCCAGAAGAAGCCAGCCGGGCCATTCTCGTAGCGCACGAATATCTGGAGATCCGAGATGTCGAGGGTCAATGCGTCAGCCATGGCGTCGGCTAAGCGTCGATGGGCCAGCGCAGAACGCCACCGTGGCCAATGGGGCCGCGACTCCGGCCTCGGGCGCGGGCGCGCGGCCACGGGGCGCCCCCGGCGGGCGCCCGGCCGCAGGCGCCGCGACGGCAGCGCCGGCGGGCGCCGCGCCAGGGCCAACGCGCCAGCGCTGGAGAGGGGCAGCAGCCCCCCGAGCAGCGCGGCCACGAGCAGGCACCGCAGCGCCCAGACCTCCACCTGGTGGCTGGTGGCCTCCGCCTGGAGGTCGACGGCGCGCCTCAGCCCCGCGTCGCAGGGGCGGCGGCAGTCGTCCTCCGAGCCGCCGGCCGGCGGCGGAGGCGGGTGCCGCGCGGGCGCCGCTGGCGCTCTTCAGCTCCAGGACCGGCAGGCCCCGATCGTCGCGCTCCAGGCGGCGGCGAAGGCTGCCCAGGGCGAGGGCGGGCCATCCGCGGGCCGCCGCGCCCGGGCCACTCGGACTTGAGCCACCGCGCGGCGGGGACTTGCGATTCAAGCGAGCGGGCGGGGAGTGGCCGAGAGGTATTCGCGTCTCCGAATCTGCCATCATGGAGGTCCGCGCGGATTTCCGGGATCGGCGCCTGGGCCCCCCAGCGGCGCCTCCGGCGCCGCCCCTGGCGCGCTGAGCGTGCCAGGGGCGGGGGTCCAGCGCCGATCCGAGAAATCCGCGCGGACCTCCGAGTTTTCGTTTTACGTCGCGCGGTCCGAGTTTTTCCGGCCATGTTATTGTTCGCCCCCCTAGGACAGGGCGGCGGAGATGAGCGCGGGCTGAGCGGGGGAGGGGCAGGAGGAGGAGGAGGCGGAGCAGGCGGAGGACGAGGAGGAAGCAGAAGAAGAAGGAGGAGGTTAAGGTTGAGGCCGTCGGGGAGCGCCAGTCCACTATTCTCTAGCTAGACAGCTCCCCGGGTGGAACGTGGAAGCGGCGCCCGCGGCTTCGAGCGGCCATCCGACCCGCGGGGCTGCCTTGGGCGACGCAGGCCCGACCCCCGCTGGGTCGCGGCCCTGCTGCCCCGAAGCAAGGGGCCCTGCAGCGCCGCGGAGGCCCCTGAACAACAGTCGGAGGAGGGGGGAATGGCAAAGGCCTCAGAAGCGGGCAGGCAAAGGCCTCACAAGCAGGCTGTCAGGAGGTCTCTAGCAACTGAGAACGCAGGAGGGCGCGCCTGCCCTGGCCTGTCCAGGGCGGGGCTCGCCCTCTGAGCCACCGCCGCCCCTCTGCACCAATACCCGACGCGCGGTCTCTTATCTCGCCGCGGGGCCCCCTGCCCCGAGACGGGGCCGAGCGGCAGGGGGGCCGAGGGGCCAGGGGGAGAACGAGAGAAGAGGACAGCCGAGGAAGAGCAAGAGACAAGCCGAGCCGAGGCCCCCGACCAGGGGGGGGAAGAGAAGAGGAGGGGCAACCGCGGAAGGCGATGGCCTAGCAAATAAACTGGTGCAGCTGTTCCTTGTTCCCTCTCGGCAGTTACCACTTGTTCGAACGCGTTGAAGCAACTCTTCTATATGTGCGGCTATTGCAAAATATCAGTCCGACCTCCATCCATGTTTCTAATGCTGCGTGCACGTCATTCTTTGGATATGTGTGATCAAGCCGCAACATGATCTCGGAAACACGCAACTCTCCACAATCTATGAATAGTTCGTATGTGTTGTCAAGAAACCTAGTAAATGCGTCAGTGGTGCTCCTTTCCTCGGCCTCCTGAACTTTTTTTTTTGGTTTTTTCTTTTTTTGTAAAAAAAGCTCTGCGCAAGTCCCCAAATAGCGTGTCAAGCTTCTTTCGTTGCTGCGATGTGATGCCATCGCTCTCTGCTAGATGTTTATGCTTGCCGGTTAGTTAAGAAATGCAGCCGGCCCTTGCTCGTAATGTCTGCCAGCAAAACTGCCTCCACCAATGAGTTTAAGGTATGCTGAAAAATTGCCAACTTCCTGATTTTCATCGTCTTTGATTGGGCGACTATCTGCATAATGGTCCAAATACGTACGGGAACTCATGTAGAATCGATTGAAACTGTTCCAGGCCGTCCGAACTGCGAATCGCTCCAATCAGCTCTGACAGAAGTATGCGCTACTCCCAGTAGCCTCGTTTGCATACGACTGCGTTGCATCCGTCTCATGCGCTGGCGGGGCGATCTCTCCAGGGCCGCGTCGGGCCCGCCGCGCATTGGGCGATTGACTCCCGTCTCCCTCCATTGTATATGAAACCTGTGCCACCTTCTCGTCAAATGTCGCGTCGTCGCCATGGCAAGAACTTGCGCGCCTGCTTTCCGGCTCGCAAGCAAGCAAGCAAGATGTCATACACCCGCAGATGCGTAGGACACTGAACTGGAAAAGTGTTGCTGAAAAAAATCGGACCGCGCGGCGCCGCGCGGTCAGCTTTGCCGAGCGCGCGAACTGCCGCCAGGAAACTTCATCAGCCAAGAGTGGGTTTAACTTTGACATGCCGCCTGCCACTCCTAGCACCTGGGTTGTCCAGTCTGCGCGTGGCCGGCCTACCTTTCTCACGCATCGGTCTGCTGCCGACTTGAAACTTCCAGGACAGAAGGTAGCGTTCCTGAGGAGGCTCCCTTCTGGTGTCCTGGCGATTTTGCCAAGTAGGAGATGCTGCCGTCGTGCCGCTGTGTCCGTCAGAGGGTGTTGTCCCGTTTTGTCTAAGACTATCACGTTGCCCACCCTGGAGATGCATGCTGGTTCGATTCCCCATATTAGGCGAAGACACCGACAATGGAAGCCACCCAGCCGCCCTCTCTTCGCAGCATTCAGCCACAAAGTCGATGAACCATGCGCGAGCTTGCAAAAAAAAAAAAAAAAAAAAACGACTGCGCTGTAGACCTCAATTTTTCTGCGCCTGCCCAAGCCTGAATGTCGCCATTTCTTGGGCGGCTTGTCAAAGTCGGCGCGCGCAGCGCCCGGGCGGCGACTGAGCTCCTTGCCCGCGGCGCCTGTTCCAGAAATCATAGCGCCCAAATAAATCGCGTCTTCTTGCGCCCGTATGTCCATTCGAATCCTGAACACTGCTTGCGCATCTGATTCGAAGGAGTTGGAACCTGTCCGGGTGCAGCTTCATGCCATGGGATTCCTCAGAAATCTGAATAGCAGCTAATGTCTTCCGCTGCCCGCTTCGCCCTTTCCAGAATCAGCGCGCCGTCCGCGCGCGGCAAAACGGAAAGGGATGCGCTGCCCCAGAGCGCTCTGCGTTCTGCTGCACGTTGGGAGACAGCGTCTTCGATGATCTCTGCCCCGGTCATCACGAACAAGAAGGGTGATAGAGTGGGCATCCTTGCGAGGTCCCGGAGGACTGCGGCCCCGAGGAAGGCCTCGAGGAAGAAGTCGCCCCGCAATCCCGCGCCTCGAAGATTCTGTCTCTGTAAACCGCGCCTATGATCTCCAATCTGTGCTCGGGCAAGCCGAAACGTCGAAGATCGGGTGGCATGGCCGAAGGGCTGATGGAGTCGAAAGCTTTTTACCCATCCAAGGCCAATTCATACAGATTACCTGATCATGTACCAAGCTCCGAGTCCATGCGCCGACGGAGCGCAAACATCGCCTCTTGTCTCCCATGCTTCGATTGAAAACCAAAATTGCGATCGCGTCAGCCTGAATTCAGCTTCTGCCCCCACCAAACGTCGGCGCAACAAAGACGCAAAAACTCCGTGCCCAATCGTTCGCGCAATCATATGTAGTTTCTTTATTGTGCATTGTTGTTACCCTTGCTGTCTGCCATCCTGGAAGAACCCTTCGCCCTTGCCAACAATGGTTCGCGAAAGTCGTGATGCGTTGTAATGCCTTGGAGTCGTCTGCAAGCGCCATCCAATATTATGGTGGGATGCCGTCTGGCCCGGGTGCTGTGCCATCGCGCAGCTTGCGCAAACATGTTCTGACCTCGTCATCTGTGAAGTTGGCGAAGTTGACCGGAAACGCAGGTCCAAGGGCGGGTGCGTCGACAGCGTCGGCTGGACGCACGCCCCGCTGCACCGTCTCGAGGTACGTTGCCATGGTATATGCTCGGTCTTCGCTGCAGACTAATTCTCCTTGCAAGTTCCGGGGCCGCCCCTGCTTGGCGGGGCGAGGCTTTCGGAACCTCCGGATATCGTTCCAGGAGCCAGTCGCCACCAAATCTTCCAGCCACTTAGATTTATCTTCTCGAGCAGATTCTCGCGCAGCTTTGTGCATCTCTTTCTCCAGAGCGGCGTTCCCGTCCACTCGAGCGCGCGCTCCTTCTTGGATGAGCTGCACTGTCCGGCCACTGATCCGCAGGTCGTCTGGGTCGGGGCGGCTCGTCAGGCAAAACCTCGGACGCAGCCCCGATCGCGGCCGATATGCTTTGCCGGGCGCCTTCGACCCCTCCGGCGGCACCCGCGTCCCCCGAGCAACAATCCGAACAAATTGCGGTCGTATACCTGGTTTTCGCAAACTCCCTCTCTGTTTTCGACTGTGGTGTCGACGTGGTTGAGAATGCGGAATGCCGAGGTCGATCAGGCAGCGCACTAGGAAGTGCCGCGTGGGCAAAGCTACTTCTCGGCGGCTTCCAACGGGCGACGCCCGGCCAAGACCTACGCCCGGCGCGAGAAACAATCGAGCAGAGCAAATCTGTCCGGCGGGGTTGCGTCGCTGGGCTTTGCGCCGCTCTCCACGCACATAATCCGCTGCCCGTCGGCACATTCTGAAGAGCGTCGCCGATGCTGCACTGCTGCGCCGCGCAGAACTCCATCGATAGATCCCCGTTGGGTGACTCTACTTTGCGTTTCCCTTCTACTCCGAAAGTGCACGGCCCAAGCGCGCGTTCTTCGCCTCGCCGTTGTTGGCCAAGCCAGGCGTTGAAGTCTCCAGCCATATATTGAATCCATTCGCCGATATGGCATTGAGCATCTTTTCCCAGTCCAAACAAAAATGCAATCGCTCAGGTAGCGGTCGGAGGTTGCGCGGGGCGTAGCCGGTGATCAGCGCGCACATGCCCCCGCTGCCCCCGATCTCCAAGCAAACGAGCTGGTCTGAATATTTCAAGAAGCCACAGATGCACGTTGCCATGCGGGGCGCAATGATAAACCCCACTCCTGAACTAGGTCTGTCGACGCAATCTGCATTTTCCGAACCTAACAATACAGCGCGACGCCCGTCGCTCGCGTGGCACCCTGCCATCGAAGCCCGCGTCTCCTGGAGGCAGAGAAAACCAATATGCAAAACGCGCATTGCTTCGCAAAGCGCGCAAAGCTTCTCGTCGATTAAACAGGCGACGTTCCACGCGGCGATTGCGACGCGCCCGCCTTGTGCACTCAAGGCTCCGCGTGGGCGCGGGCGCCCCAGCGGCGCTGAAAAACGAGCGGGTGAAACAATGCCCTCGCCCTCCGGGCCCCGTCAATTCCCCCCTTTCTTCCATTTCCCTTTTTTCCCATGGCAGCGGCGCGGGCCAGGGCTTCCTCGCAGGACGTGCGGAGCTCGATGAAAGCCGCATCGTTTTGGAGGTGAGCCCCATTCTCTCATTGCGCGCTGGGCCACGTGAGCTTGAGCGCACCTCCCACGGAGCAGATTGATGGGATGTGCTCGCCCTCGGCGTGCGCGGCGAGCTCCCCGTCGCCTATCTGAACGCTATGTTTCTTGAAGCCTCACTGCGCCAGAAGCCGCTTCAGGCCGAATAGCACCCGGATCGGGATCCTGCTAGAGGCTGGCCTATCTTTATGTGTCAAACTTATATTGCTATTTTAAGAAATCAGTGAAGCTCGTCACATGCGCAGCGCTGTCTCTGCATCTGTGTCGCCACTCATCTCTGCAAAAACAATGCCGTTGTAGATGTCACCTTTCATGTAGATGTCACTCGGCGCTGGCATGTTTGACTTTGCCATCTCCTGTTTGAGAGATGCGACTGCCTCTTCTAGCGACCCCAATCCCTCCAAGCTCCCGGAAACAATCGTCTCAATTGCCTGCTGTGGGGCGTGGCGTAGGTCGGCACATTGGCGCTCCAAAGCTCCGAGACGTGCTTCAACCTCAGGGCTCAACGAGGTATATGACGCCGTCCGGGTGGATGCTGGTCGCGAGGGGCCAACTTCGATAGCTGCCACCCGCGCTTCCAGATCCCCCAACAAAGCCTTCAGTGGTGACGCGGCATCTTGAAGATCACGTTGAGAGACTCCGTGTGCCTTGATCGCCGCGATGTCCTTCTGAATCGGTTTCAAGAACTTCTCGATCGCCTCTAGCGTTGCCGGCGTGCTTGAATATGCCCCTGCAAGAGCATGTTCGTGCTGCTGTTGACGTGCTGCTGGGAGTTCTTCGGGAGCCGGCTCTGTAACCCCGTCCATCTCATTCAGCGGGCTGTCAATCCTTATTACCTTTGTTTTGGGCTTGCCTGGAGTTGGGGTCGACGGCGGATAAGGTGGGGGACGGTCACCGCTGAACAGCTGCCTGACAGGGGTGCCTGGCACGCGCGCGTCCCCACTCGCACCCGAAGAAGACATCGCTGCAGGCATGAGCGTGCGAGAGGGTAGGATGAACGGAATTCTTGAGGAAGGTTGAACGTGGTGTGGACGGGTTCCACAATTTGTTCTCCAGCTCGTGGTTTGTCAATTGGTCTTCAAGATGTTCCAGCATGCAGCCGTTCTCACACTGCGTACACTGAACCTTCTGGTTGCTCCAAGCTGTTCGAGCCGCGAATCGCTCCAATCAGCTCTGCAAACAAATCTCGTTTGTATTCGACTTGGTTGCTTCCTCAGGCTCTGGCGGGGCGCTCTCTCCAGGACCGCATCGGGCCCGCCATGCCTCTGGTGATTGACTCTCGGCTCCCTCCGTTGTATATGAAACCGGTGCAGCCTTCTTGTCATGGGTAGCGCCGTCGTCATGGCGAGAACTTGTGCTCTGGTTTTCCTGTTCGTGGTCCTTGAGTTTCTCTTCGAAGTGTTCCAGCATGCGACCTTTCTCAAATAGTGTACGCTGATCTTCTGGTCTCTGCTCAAATCCCGTCGGGGGTGGGAGCGATAGGCTTTTCAGAATGTCCATCCTGGCAATCTGGCATATTTTTGCGTGAGTGCGTCGGATGCGTTGTCGTCTTCTTTGGCTGGAAGTCACACGTGCAAATTCCGAGTACCCAAAATCAGATGCGGCACGAAACAAGTCCATTAGAAGATGTAGAGACGATGCACGTTACGGTATCGGAAAGACGAACACCATGGAGTGCCCCCCAATCCCCAGTGCCCTTTGGGTCCGCGAGGGGGGCGCGAGGTCACTGCTGTGTGAGTTGGTGCATGCGGCTCGGTCGGGCTATGCACCAAAATCTCAAACGGCGACCTAAGGAGGAGAAGGAGGAGGAGGAGGAGGAGGAGGAGGAGGGGCCCCCTCCTCTCCTCCCCCCTCCCGTCAGTGCAAATGGGCGGCAGTGTGAAGGAGGTATACACCATCCCGAGAGCGAGAACGGCCACGGGCTGACTGCTTCGTGATGGGAGAGCGACCACCCATCGGGCGCGCCATTGTGAGGCTTAAACTCGCACTGTCGCGCGAGGAGTCGTGATTCGTGCTCGCCATCGGAACATTGACTTACGTGGCACGATCCGGCAGAACCCTCCCCCTCCTCTTATTGCATGGGCACACTGCGTAAAACCAGGGAAGCTCTCGCAAGGAGGCCAAATAACAAGACCTGGAAACCAAAGGCCCCTGTGAGGAAACAAAAATGGGGAACCTCCAAGGAACCTCCTTGCAGTGAAACAAGACCGTGTAATCCCGATGAACACCGTGGCCAGCCGTGCCCCGCACCCGCCGGCTCATCGCAAAGCCGAATTCATCAAAACGACATCAACCCATACGTCTGGAGGTCCAATCGGATTTCTTGGACTGGCGCTGGACCCCATCCCTGGCGCGCAGAGCGCACCAGGAGCAGCGCCGGAGGCGCCGCCACCAAGGGATGCAGCGCCGAGGCAGGACATCCGCGCGGCCACACACAAGTCAGTGCTGATGCAGATGATTCTTAGTCTTCGACTCTGGCGAGGGATAGGAGATCTCCACGAAGGATGCGTCTTAGTCTTCGACTCTGGGAAGGGATAGGAGATCTGCAAGAAGGATGCGTCTTAGTCTTCGACTCTGCGGAGGGATAGGAGATCTCCAAGAAGGATGCGTCTGAGTCATCGAATCTGGGGAAGGATAGGAGACCTCCCAGAAGGATGCGTCTTAGTCATCGACTCTGGGGAAGGATAGGAGATCTCCAAGAAGGATGTGTCTTAGCCTTCGACTCTGGGGAAGGATGTGTCTCAGTCTTCGACTCTGGGAAAAGGATCGGAGGTCTCCAAGAGGGCCTCTTCAGAAGGCAGGAGGGCGTCCAAGAAGACCCTGGCTTCTTCCAAGAAGGCCACGGGCCTCGCCATGCCTCCTCCCTCTCTTCCTCCCTCCTCCTCTCCCTCCTCCTCCTCATCCTCCCCCTCCTCCTCCGCCTCCTCCTCCTCATCCTTCTCCGCATCACCAACACCCTCACGATCCCAATCATCATCATCATCATCATCATCATCATCATCATCATCATCATCATCATCATCATCATCATCATCATCATCATCATCATCATCATCATCATCTGCATCATACATCATCGTAATTAGCATCATCATCATCATCGTCATCGTCATCATCGTCGTCGTCGTCATCATCGCCATCAGCATCATCACCATCGCCATCATCACCCTCGTCGTCGCCGTCGTCATCATCATTAACATAATCGCATTCATCACCATCATCAGCATCAGCATCATCGTCATCCTCAGCACCATCACCACCACCGCCATCATCATCATCAGCATCATCATTAGCATCATCGTCATCACTGTCGTCGTTGCCCGCATCCGCAGCAATGTTATCTTGTTTATATTCATCTTGATCTTCATCATCATCATCATCATCATCATCATCATCATCATCATCATCATCATCATCATCATCGCCATCATCAACTTCATCATCGTCATCGTCGTCACCATCACCATCAGCATCACCACCATAATCATCATCAGCATCATCATCATCATCATCATCATCATCATCATCAGCGTCGTCATCACCACCATCACCATCACCATCACCATCACCATCACCATCACCATCACCATCACCATCACCATCACCATCACCATCACCATCACCATCACATCATCATCATCATCATCATCATCATCATCATCATCATCATCATCATCATCATCATCATCATCATCATCATCATCATCATCATCATCATCATCATCATCATCATCATCATCATCATCATCATCATCATCATCATCATCATCATCATCATCATCATCATCATCATCATCATCATCATCATCATCATCATCATCATCTCCATCATCATCAACAACAACATCAAATTCGTCGACCATGTCATCCTCCTTCTCGTGGTCGTCGTCGCGGAGGAGGGGCGCGCGAAGGGGGGGAGGAGAAGGAGGCCAGCGCGGGAGCGCGCGGGCGGGGTGGAGGTGGAAGAGGAGCTCGGGCTGATGAGGGGGAGGAGGAGGGGGAGGAGGAGGAGGAGGAGGAGGAGGAGGAGGAGGAGGAGGAGGCGGAGGAGGATGCGGCGGAGGAAGAGGAGAAAGGAGGAGGAGGCGGAGGAGGATGCGGCGGCAGCGGAGCTCACGCGGAGAAGAGAGCGGAGAGGGCGAAGTGAAGGGCTTGGTCCGCCCTGACTGCGGGAATCCCACGCGGTGCCGCCGGCTCGCCAGTACCGAGGACGGCAGGGCGAGGAGGGAGGAGGGAGAAGGGAGGGAGACCGAAGACTGTAAAAACGACGTCTCCAGGGAGGAGGGATGGAAGGAGGGAGGGGGAGGGGGAGGAGAGAGCAGCAAGCAGGAGGGAGAGACGGGTCCAGGGGTCTTCTCGAACCGGGTCCAGCTTCTCATTCCTGAATCGGTTTTTGCCAGGCCCGGGGCCCGGGAAGGCCATGGGAGCTCCGAAAACAGCCCCCCGCTTAACAAAAAACAAATCACTGCAAGGCCCCTCCCGCTCCTGAGCTCGTTTCCTTCATGGCGAAAGCATGGATGAGGATGAGGATGAGGATGGGGATGAGGGTGAAGGTGAGGATGAGGGTGAGGAGGATGAAAAGGAGGTGGAGGAGGAGGAGGAGGAGGAGGAGGAGGAGGAGGAGGAGGAGGAGGAAGGGGAGGAGAAGGAGGAAGAGGAGGCTTTGAAGCGGTATGGTTTCAGGGGCGTCTTAACCCCATGTGATATGACCTGTGGCCATCTCCACCCCAGGGTTGACAGGGGGACCTGCGCCACAGCAGGCTACCCCAGGGGTGACAGGAAGAATTGAGCCTCCCCAGAGCCCAAGAACTTACAGTTGGATCGAGGGAAGACGCGTGTCAGACCTAAGTGTGACATGTAACTTGCTGTGTTGCATCGCACGGCACGCACATCCCATGCGAGCGACCCCTTCTGCCAAAACTGCTTTAACAGTTTGACCGCCGGTTTGGGCGCAAACTGCTCCAACAATTTTAACGCCTGCTGCGCCGCACTGCCCCCGTGACATTTGCAGCGCCTTGCGTGGCGTAGGGGGTTGGCGGATGGGACGGTACGCCTAAAATCTTGGTCGTTGTAAGTTCCCGTGGTGACGATCTGTGGTCGTTTGAGTGAGCGGAAGGTGCGTCCCTACTCTGGAGCGCGGGGCGGCATGGTACACCCAAAAGTAAGTCCAAAGTGGCCGCAACAAAGTGTGGCTCTTTTCCACGCTGGTTTGGCCGATAAGGAGGTTCGGGGTGAAGCACCTTACCCTAAGCGCGCCCAGAATCGTGAGACTGTCCCGGCTGCGTGGCCGATAACTTGGGGGTGAGGTGTCGATGCGATCCCCCTGGTCTCACAACGACATGTTGGGCCCCAAGAAGTGGGACCCGGATGTGTGCTTGGTCCACCCCAGGAGGGCCTGGGCACAACAAACTAGAACCAAAGCGCGCGCGCCTTGCCGGGGGGCAGGGTTTGTCCGCCCCTGGGCGGCGCTTCAAGCTAGAATCTAAACGCGCGTGGTTCTGATACGTGTTGCGTCCGTCCCGGCTGCGTGGCCAAAAACTTGTTGGTGAGGTGTCGATACTATCCCCCCTGACCTCACAACGACATGTTGGGCCCCACGAAGTGGGACCCGGATGTGTGCTTGGCCCACCCCAGAGGGGCGCAACAAGTTAGAACCAAAGCGCGCGTGCCTTGCCGGGGGGCCAGGACTTGTCCGCCCCTGGGCGGCGGTTCGAGATAGAATCCAAGCGT